TTGACCAGGATGGTCTCGATCTCTTGACCTCGTGATCTACCCGCCTCGGCCTCCCAAAGTGCTGGGATTACAGGCGTGAGCCACCGCGCCTGGCCTCCTGCAATTTTTAAAAATCTATTCCACAGTCTTACCATCCAACCTCAGTGCCCAATATAAGTAACAGATGGAGGCACAGTTTTCAGTTCTCTGTCTACATAAACCTTTGAACAGGAGAGAAACTCCATCTCAAATAAATAAATAAAGTGTAAAAAGTAAAGCTAAAATAAAAGATTGTTGACCTTGTACAAATAGGACCTTGGACAAATATTGACCTTGTACAATAGCGATTGCTCCAGAAATTCCTCTAATTGTAATATGATGTGTGTGTGTGTGTGTGTATTTTTTAATGGAAAATTCATTCTCTAATCAACGCTGCTGGGGCATAGAAGAACAGCATGATGGGAGGTGTGTTTCCCTCCCACAGAAGAGGAACATAATGGCTGAGAGCCATGATGTCTGCCACAGGGAGCCACAGCATCACTGTGATGGACAAATATTCAAAGAGCATTCCTGTGACGAGCTCTTGGACACGTGGTCTCCTATTTTGAACAGAGCAGTCACTGTTTATCTTCCCTCTTTCTCCCCATCTCTTTCCAGGGCCCTCTACCTGGCTTCTGTCCGAGCCTCCAGTGTGTGCCTTTTCTGATCGGCCTGGGAGAGTGCAATGCAGATACATTAAATGGGATAAAAGAATAGAGAAATGATCCACACTATCGGGGCATCTCATAAATATTTTCTGCACTTAGGGACCATCTCTGAGGAATAAACGATTTTTTCTTGAGCTAACTGAATTCTTTAGTGCTCATTTAAATCATATAGAAAGAGATAGAAGGAGGGAAGAAATCAAAGCAAGTTCTATGAGCAAAAATGAAGAAAATGACAATAATGTGGAATTTGAACATACCCAGTTTAGGGAGTGGATAGTTGATATCAAAGTACTTTTCATAAAAATCAAGTAGCTTCAGTGATGCCTGCAAAGCATAATGTATTTGATTCCATTTGTCTGGGGACGCGTAGATGGACACCTGGGAAATGGGGATCAGAAGAGATTTTTGAATGACAGCTCCCTGGCTTAATTCTGTTCCTGTTAACCCTCTCACACAGAAAGGCAGACTGCATCTTTTCAAGAAAGTATTAAGATACGATTAAGCATGTTGTCAATAAGGATAAGAGGTTCTGTGAAGTATGAAAGCAAAAGTCGGTCTTGAAAATTACAAACACCCTGCAGCATCTGTTACAATCCATTTCCTCAGTGCTCGTCTGTAACTTTCAAACCATATTGACCCATCATATCATAACCCAAGTACTTGACAACTAGCTTTCTGAAATGATGACGGCAAACACAATCCAAATAAAACATAGGTTTCTAGACCCGTGTGGGGAAACCCTGAATAACTTATTGGATCCATCCTCTGTCAAGTTTGCTTTAAACCAAGAAATGCTCAAATATGTTCCAAGGCTTCCCCAAGGAAACTAGCTATTAAGTGGAAAAAATAGAATTAGATTCCAATTTTCTTGGCTTCCAAGTATAGGGCTACTTTTATTTCATGACATACTTTTATGCTCTGAATTAACTGAAGTCCTTCAGAACTTTTATATGGAAAATATGTAAATGGCCATCATTTTTTGACATTTACCAGGCACTATGCTGAATGCTTACATGTAAAACCTAATTTAATAATTTGCACCCACTCTGTGAAGCAGCTGCCATTTTATAGATGAAGCAACAAAAACACATGAAGATTTAGTAGCTTGCTCCAGATCACCCAGGCTGAAAGTTGAAGACCTGGGATGTGCATCCAAGGAGGCTGATGAGAACCTGTCTTCTGAAGTGCCAGTCACCTCCTGCCCATCCATGTCTATGCACATATATATCTATGTGCAGAGGTGCCATGATATATATGTAGCTACACAACTCACATATCTACATATTCATAAGTATTATATGTATGTAAATTGTAATAGACATTTTATACTGATTTTTCTTTTATTTATTTATTTATTTTTGAGATGAAGTCTTACTCTCGTCGCCCAGGCTGGAGTGCCTGGTGTAATCTCGGCTCACTGCAACCTTTGCCTCCTGGGTGCAAGTGATTCTCCTGCTTCAGCCTTTTGAGTAGCTGGGATTACAGGCACTTGCCACCATGGCTGGCTAATTTTTGTATTTTTAGTAGAGATGGAGTTTCATCTTGTTGGCCAGGCTGGTCTCAAACTCCTGACCTCAGGTGATCTGCCCACCTCGGCCACCCAAAGTGCTGGGATTACAGGTGTGAGCCACTGTGCCTGGCCTATCTCTGTTTTTCAAAAGCATTCTTTTATAAACTTTAAAGATGTTTTTATATCTATAATTTTGTCCCTTGGAATAAGAAGTTCTTTTTTATTTATTTAATATGTCCACTGATGTTTGGGGATATTTAACTACAAAGATAATCATTAGGTATTGTTGTAAGTTTTTACAAACAATGAAGACTCTAAAAATTATAAAGATCTTTTGTTGAGGAAAAAAGTTATTTAAAAAACAGTGGGAAATGGTCAGGCAAGGTGATTCACACCTGTAATCCTAGCACTTTGAGAGGCCGAGGTAGGTGGAACACTTGAGTTCAGGAGTTCAAGACCAGCCTGGTCAACATGGTGAAACCCCATCTCTACAAAAATACAAAAATAGGCCGGGCATAATGGCAGGTGCCTGTAATCCCAGCTACTCAGGAGGCTGAGGTGGGAGAATTGCTTGAACCTGGGAGGCAAAGATTGCAGTGAGCTGAGATCACGTCATTGCACTCCAGCCTGGGCAACAGAACAAGACTCCATCACACACACAAAAAAAGAGTGGGAGAAAACATACATGTTCAAAAATAAGATGCTGATTTAAAAATTCTTATTAGACTTTGATGCAATTATTAATATAATATTATTTATAATTTTTAATGACATTCAACTTTTATGGCATATTTTGATAAAATGGGTTAAAAACAGTCAATATATTATTTTGCAAAGGGTATATGTATGTATGTGTATGTGTGTGTATATATATACTTTGAGAAATACCTTTACATATATAGTCAGTAAATACAGTTACTATGTACATACACATATGCTGACATACATATGGAAAATATTTGGAAGGCTAAACTATTATCGATAGTTGTATCTTGGTGACAGGACTATGAATAATTTTTAATTTCGTTTTTTATCTATTTTTGTAATGCAAGCATAATGCTTTAATAATAAGGAAAAACATGAGAAAATAAAAGCTCACTGCTCTCAGGACACTATTCTGTACTGCGCAGAAAATAGAACTCAGTCTCACCTTGACTCCTGATGAGGTAGAGCCACTTACAGAGTGGAAATCACAAACAATGTAGGCTACAAGGTACGTACTCATTTTTACAGTAGTTTCAAAGTGATCTTCCAAAAGGCCTCCTTCAAGCTCAATTGTCTTAACCTACAGAAAGGAAAAGGAATAATCCATACTTGAAAACTGAAGTATTTCATAGCCATGCCTATGACTTACGGCTCTAACTCAAGAGGCAAGCCTGATACACTGAAGGACAATCGATGACCTCGTAGGAGGGCAATGGCCTCTCATAGCATTCTGTGGCCTCTCTTACCGCTTTTATCCCAGCACTATGTGGAAGACACAAAGCCCCTCTTTTGATATCCCCAAAGCACAAAAATGCCAAATCAAATTTTGTTGATTGAAACCACAAAACTATTAGGTGTTTATATTTTCTTAAAATGCAATAATCTCCAACACTGGCATCAATTCAACTTCTGGGCTTTGAAGTAAAATACCAGATAATGCCCCCTTTCCCTTTGTTGTACAAAAAATACACCTCTGCAGAAAAAGGAAACAGGAAGTAAAACTGAGCTAGAGGCTTCACATTATCTTTTAATCTTCTTATGGAGTGTGAGGTTGGTGTTATTTCTTAGGTGAGGAAACAGAGGCTCAGAATTGTTTACTGAATTGTTGCAGATCACATGGCTAGTTCCATGGTGGGACCAAGATGTGAATGTGACCGTGTGACTCCAAAGATGATGCTCATCCTCTCACTTGCTGCGTGACAGCTTGAGTCATGGTCTTATTTTATCTTTGCTTCATTGATTCAGCAATGAAAGCAGTCAGGCCAAGGAGGTCATTAGTAATTTAAGCTTCTGCCCATCTCCTGAGGAAGTAGAAACTTTTCAGCCTACAGTCTTGTCAGCTGCATCCATCAAGATCACTGGGTAATGACTGAATTCTATCTTCATTTGGTCTGGGCCGCTTGTCTCAGAGATGGTTTTCACCATGGTACAATGCCCCCAAACACTGAATGGATACAGATCCAATAATTTGAAAACATTTTCTTCAAGCTAGTCACAACTCTTAGACTGGCTCTCCCACACCTCTATCCTCAAGCCCGTTCTGGGAGTCAGGCTTGTGACAATGCTGACTGCAACTTATTAAGCATGTTTGATGACTGGATAAGATTACGCTGTGCTTTGGTGAAGAAAATAGCTTGAAGCATTACCGTAGACTACCTAGTCTACTACGATGGCAAACGTTTTTGTTATTAAATTTTACAGAATTTAATTTTACTGAATTCTATTTGAAATCTATTTCTAAGTTCCAATTAAGAAGAAGATGCCAAACAAATACTCTAAGAAAGGTAGAAGTAGATACAGGGCTGAAAATTTTTTAAAACTCTATCCAGAAAATTAATTTCACTCAACAACAGTCACCTTTTTTAGGAATTTGATTCAACCAATGTTCTCTGGATATCCACTCCCAGCAGAGGAGATGCTGTTTTATGGTGGGGGCTGGGAGACAGGGTATTATTGTGGTCTTCTGGCCAAAGTCAGCAGCAAAACCATCTAGTCAAGTGTGTGGAAGGGCGACTGGTGGAGGAATAGGCTATGAGGCTATGGGGAAATGAGTCTGGGCTACTAGAAAGCTGGTGGCAGGAATGGTAGGAGGCAGATGAGTGTTTGCTATGATTTCTCCCCCCAGAGGAAGACAGTGCAGTCCCTGGAGGCTGAGTTTTGTTCAGAAACCTAGAGTGACCCATATAGATTAACATTGCCTTAAATGGACGTGTATGCGGTATTAGTGTAAGTTCTTCCAGGATAGTGATGTAAGTTCCACGTACAAAACACTGGTTGCTAGACAGCATTAACTGTTTTCTCAATACTAGCAGAACTTGACCTGCATAGAAATTGTCACCAGTGCGTTTGTGTTCCCTTAAAGGATGAAAGAGACAAATCAGTGTCCAAAATATATGCCGCCCCTACTAGCCCTTGGGTGGCTCCTCACCTCTCTTAAATTCTGCATTCTTAACTAAGGAAACTGAGAACTGAGTGTGTATTGCTTCTTCCCACCAGTCGATAGCCCAGCTTAGGAGCTGCAACTGTTATCTAGAGAGTATGATTGTGACATTAATTCAGTTCTCCTTTTTTGACTAACCATGAGAGCCTGGGTTGGTCAATGTCTATTAAAAGCAGAATGTTAAATCAGTATTTGCTGAAAAGGGCATGATCCAGCGAGCTGCTGCAGTCAACTGGGCAAAGTAGACATCCAAGGACCTTAGAAAATATTTTCAAAGGCTGGGCGCAGTGGCTCATGCCTGTAATCCCAGCACTTTGGGAGGCTGAGGTGGGAGGATCACGAGGTCAGGAGTTTGATACCAGCCTGACCAATATGGTGAAACCCCATCTCTACTAAAAATACAAAAATTAGCCAGGCATGGTGGCACATCTCTGTAATCCCAGCTACTCAGGAGGCTGAGGCAGGAGAATCGCTTGAACCTAGGAGGCAGAGGTTGCAGTAAGCCGAGATTGTGCCACTGCATTCCAGCCTAGGAGACAGAGCAAGAGTCCATCTCAAACAAAAAAAAAAGAAAGAAAGACAGGGGAAAAAAAGAAAACATTTTCAAAGTGTTTGCTTCTTTTCCTTAAACACGAGAAGTTACTAGAGATTTCTAAGATATAAATTTTTAATTTTAATATAATAATGATAATGGCAATTTATGTTTGTATTATATTTGATGAAAAGGGCTGTTTTTACTTTACCCACCATGATTACTTAGATAAAAAATCACATTAATAAAAACTTCCAGGAAAGCTACTGCAATGATACACTGTCCTGAAACGAACATGCTGTTAGAAAGAAGAGTTGGTGTCAAAGCAGCAAATTGTTGCTACCTGAAAATGAAGGGCTAAACTGCTCACTGTTAATAATCACGGAAAAACTGTGCTACGGGGTCCCACGGAGGTTTGCTTCTTTTGCCTTTGGTCTACTCTGCCAGTATTTCAGAGCAAACGTCTTTTCCAGCATTAAGTAGAAATCTGGGGGATGCAGCATCTAGATTATGGGCTCGTTTCTCTCCTGCATCTTTAGAGGCAGAGAGGAAAACGGGCGTTCGGCCACGTGCTGGCTGTGGATGACCTGCCGCCTCCTGTGCCCTGCCTTTCTGAAGCACCATCAGGAGAGCCTCTATTTTTGTCCTACTTTCCAAGCAGCGTTACAGAAATATTTTACATTTTGTTCAGCAGCACAAATGGCAAGCACATCATTAATGAGGAGGTATCAAACAAGGAAAAGGGTCTACTGTGCCTTCCAGAGTCTCTGCATTTTGAGTACCAATATCAGCCAAATAAGAGTCCCAATTTTTTTTCAATTAAAAACGTTGTATAACTACAATTAATAATTTTCATAAATTTAAGAATTACTTGTGAAACTTACAAAAGGGATTTCTAAGTTCCATCACAGACAACTAGATCCGAATTTCCTGAGCTGGGACCCTGTAAAGTCCCTGAGGTCCTTGTCACTGCAAAAGGGGTCTCTGGACCGTCAGCAGTAGTATCACCTGGGGGCTTGTTAGAAAGGTAGAACTTCAAGCTTCAACCCAAGACCTCTTGAGTCAGAATCTGAATTTTAACAAGATCCTCAGACCATTCATTGGATACCATTCATTTAACCTAAAGTCTGAGAAGTGCTTCTCTAGGTGATTCTGAATTTCATCCCTGGCCAAGCGAACACTGATTTAAGATACTTCTCCATATAAACACGAAGTATAAATCACTTTGCTTGAAAAAATAAAAATAAAAAAAGCTTTTTGTGTAACAATGCCCCAAACAGAATGATGTTAAAGTCTAGAAGGAGTGAGATGATGATGGTGATAGATAAAAAACAAATTAATGACTGAAATCCTAAAGCAATTAAACAAAACACCAAACAACAACAACAACAACAAAGACTGAGTTTCAACTTGAGAACAATTTCTCAATGTTTCTGGAAGTGGAAATACCTTTGGCATGTTGGATAGTGCGATATGCCTGCTCTCTCTTCGGATCTTGATGGAAAAATTGGCTTTGAACAATGGTTCATCAAAGCAAGGGAAAGCCATGCGTGCCTGGGTTGGCTCAAAATCTGTTACGGCAAGTATTCTGTGAAAAGACCCACCCCCAGCCAAAATGCACAAGTGAAACAAAGAAGAGAAATGAATCTGTACATGTAGCAAACAGCTTATCAAACCTTGGGGTAATAGGCTTTATTTCTCAACCTACAATCTTTGTGAATCTCAAAAACTGTCTTTTGAGGAAAATGAAAGTAAAATCTTATTTAGCAGCTACCAATTATGAGCAATGCCCTGTTCTGGGAACCCTAATTACATTATTTCATTCATACTCAGGTCAAACAAGGATATTGAGGCTCAGAGAACTTGAATGACCTTAGCAGGATCCCTAGCCAGTAAATGGCTGAGATAGTACACATGTTTTCTACATGACTTCAAAATTCACTAGGAAATTAATCGTCAGTATTGTCTCTAAACCTGAAAGGGCCTCATGCAGACATTTGAGTAACTGTGTACATGAGTGATGTCTTGTGTTTCCAGGAAGCAGACCCTGACTTATTGAGAACATGCTGCCGGGAGAAAGAGGTCCTTACCTGCAGGACAGGGAAAAGGGAGAAGCCAGGCAAGGGTGCAGGACAGGCAAAGTCCCAGCATCAGCCTGATTCCCAGGGAGCTCTGAGATGCAAACTACACCTTCACGTGTCCCTCACTGGAGGCAAGGAGCTGAGCTTTCATATTCTTGTATCATTATTCGCTAACGGTCTCCCTGTGGCACCTGTGCCCCCAGGTACTTCCAGTTATCTCTGCTTGCCACTCTTCAGACAATGACAAGTATAATAGATATATACCCTGACAAACTTATCTATCCCAACACCTGGATATGCCTGAAACTGTACAGTTGCAGATTTACTCTTTGAACTTTAAGCTTCAATTAAGAAGTGAATCTGAGGAGCAGATTTTGAGTGGAAAAGGAGTGGAGAATAGAATAGCTGAAATGAGAAAGAGAGAGGTCAGGAGGGAAGAAAGGGAAGCTGTTAGGGTATTTTCCCTCAGCTTACTTTATTTCTTTGAAACAGGCTGGGAAACTAAGGCTAGGGATGTAAATGATTCACTTGTGGCCTCAAGGTTTTATTTGTATTTGGTAGCAGCTTCTGCAAATGTAAAGGAATTCTAAGTGGCTGAAATAATTTTCACCCATGTGAAATTTTGGTTGTAATAAGTCTCCATTGGAAAAAAATAAAGGAACTGAACCTTTGCTGCTTACATGATTAATTTGAAATCTACATGCAAAGTGTGACTTTCTGCATCTCAAAAGAACTACCATCAACTGAATTATTTGGGTATTTTAAATGAAGAAGTGAGGAAGAAAGAGAGAGAAAGAGAGATTCATAAGATTCAATTGACATCGTGTAGCACGTTACCCTACATGTCAGACCTACTAGGTGACTGAGTATGAAGGGAACTGACTAATTAACCATAAGAAGAGTCAGGAATAGCCTGCAATTAATCCTGGGAGGCATGCTGGCAAGTCCTCCAGCTTCATTCCAAATATCTCCCCCTCTACTCTCCCACAGCTCCCAGAATAGTATTCCTAAGATGTATGTCCTTTGGATAGGGCCTGTGGCATTTGAAAAAAATGAAAAAAGCCATCATTGTTTACATGATACCTTAGTGAGAAGGAGTTGATACTTTTCCTATCCAATACTGTGCTGAGCCTGAGAACAAGCCCCTGAAAATTGTGGCTGCAACGAGGAGAAGCGTCACCAAGGGGAAGTGGAAGGAGATGAGCGTGGGGAAGAGCTTACCTCCCAGATGGATCCTGGCCCTGGAAAACCAAACCACCCACTCTGTGAAGCAACCTTGATTCTTCTCTTGCCCTCACCTCACATGACCAATGTCAGCAATCTCTGTCGTTTTGCCCTCCAAAATAACTGCCAAGTTCAATTGCTTCACTCCATAAGCACTGCCACTAGCCTTTCCCAAATTACTATCACTTCTTTTTTTTTTTTTTCTTTTGAGACAGAGTCTCACTCTGTCATCAGGCTAGAGTGCAGTGGTGATCTTGGCTCATTGCAACCTCTGCCTCCTGGGTTCAAACAATTCTCTTGCCTCAGCCTCCCCAGTAGCTGGGACTACAGGCAGGCACCACCACACCTAGCTAATATTTGTATTTTTAGTAGAGACGGGTTTTCACCATGTTGGCCAGGATGGTCTCAATCTCTTGACCTCGTGATCCACCTGCCTTGGCCTCCCAAAGTGCTGGGATTACAGGCGTGAGCCACCACGCCTGGCCTTACCATCACTTACCTGAATTACTGCAATGACCTCCCAAATGATTACTCTGCTTCTCTGTAACACACTCAACATAGACTTGATCTTTACAAAGCATAAATCAGAGTAGAATCTTCCAATGACTTCCCATCTCATCTGAGTAAAAGTCAAAACTCCTTATAAGATACTCCAAGGCTCCACATGATCTGATCCCTTTCTCCCTCTTGTTCACCCTCTTCAGCTCACACTGGCCTTCTTCTGTCAATCAGTCCTGTCTTAGAGCCTTTGCACTTGCCCTGAGATGTTCTCATAATTGTTTCTTTAAAAAAATTCAGCTCTCAATTTAAATGCACTTCCTCAACAAAGACTTTCCTGCCCAGTCATCTGAATTAGTCTCAATCCCCAGCCACACTTTCTACTTTTTTTGCACCTTGTTTTATTTCATTCATAGCACTGTCCACTTACCTTGCCAATTTTATTTATTTTCTTGTCCTGATTGTCTCTTCCATCGGATCCCACCATTACACATTCAGTGCAGTGCCTGGCACATAGTATGTGCTCAATGAATATGACTTGATCAAATAGACCATATTTCTCAATTTTTCAAACAAACTTATTCCTTGTTTCTGCCTATTGGCTATGAGTCATGCTGTTACCTGGGCAATGTATACTCTGTCACTTCCTCTCTCCCAACCCCAATCTCACTTACGTTTCCTTCTGGTCCCAGACGAAGACACACTTCCTTTGAGAAGCATTCCCTATTTCAGCCCTCTCTGCATCTACCATCTCTTTCCCTAGCACTTAAGCATATCCATCTTATCACAGTCATATACTGGCCTCTCTCCCTAGTTATCCAGTTGTTTATGACTCTGTAACCTGCCTTTTCATCTCTACTGTGGTTTCCTTAAGGAATGATAGAGCTTTTCCTTCTTCTGGGTTCCCCACAGTTTACGGGATTTCTCATAAATGGCTGGTGAAGTCTGCTCCTGGCAAAGATGTAACTTGTAAGGAAATTATCACAAGAGAATGTAAATTACCTGAGCAAGTTCTTACCTTGTTTCACCACCAACAGTTCTGTATGTGCTTTTATAAAACCCTTCAAAGCCATCAGCTAACTTGGCTTGGAAGTCAATAGCCACATAGTATTTCAGGTGAGGCATAAGTTTCTCTGGAACCAGCAGTGCAATTTGTTGATGAGGAGGATAACTCAAAACTTTCAGCTCTCTTCCTGGTTTCGTGTATCTTGAATCTTCCTCTGACTGAAGGGTGGCATTCGTGATTTCAAGATCTTTGCTGTGCAAGATGATAAACTGGGTAGCATTGCTGACCAAGACCTCAATCTTCTCAGATGCAACAAAGTCCAGAGAGGTGAGATTGGGATGGACAAAGAGGTCATAATGGAGGGGACTGATCACGTTGGGGAGCCTTAGCTCCTGCCAAGGAAATGGTTCCCCATTGGCAGCTACTGGGAAAGCCCCAAGGTCCTCAGTGAAGTGATAACTCAGAGAACAAATGGATATTTGGGGCAAGATGGCTGCTAAGCAGTAAAATCCTGTGTGAATATTAAACCTTGGTGTTCTGCGTGAATTAACCATTGCAGAATAATGGAACATGAAATCTATTCTCTAGATGACAAGTTAATATCCAGGCTAGTCTCCTAGTTCTTCATAGCACTGCACTGGTTCCAGTTATGTCCCATGGGATCTGAATAATATTTTCAATATATGAATTTAATCTAGAAGAAAAAAACCCACTTATAGCATAAAGAAAAAAAATTTCAATTTACAATAAAATCTTAAACATTTAAAAATATTTGTGTAAGAGAAAATCTGCTCTCTGTCAGAATTAGGCCAAGTATCTACAAAATACAGCAGAAATTAAGCTGCCATCTGGTTATTACAAATAAAAACCCTTTAGAACTGCCCCCAAACCCTTACCTTAAAATTGAATGCAATGGATTTCTTCTGAATTCTTGTGCAATGAGCAGAGGTAGGTGTGTAAATTCATTGCATGTTGAATGTTTTTTAACATTTGGTTATATTTTAAATTTTTGTTTATTTATGTTTTAGACAGGGTCTTGCTCTGTTGCCCAGGTTGGAATAGAGTGTGCAGCCATGATCACCGCTTACTGCAGCCTCAACTTCCTGGGCTCAAGTGATCCTCCCACCTCAGCCTCCAGAGTAGCTGGGACTACAGACACACATTGCCACACCCAGCTACTTTTTTTCATAGAGATGGAGGTCTCCCTATGTTACCCAGGCTGGTCTCAAACTCCTGAATTCAAGCAATCCTCCCCACTTAGCCTTCTCCAGAGTGTTAGGATTACAGGCATGAGCCACTGTAACCAGCCTATTTTATTTTATTTTTTAAAGACAATGTCTCATTATGTTGCCCAGGCTGGCCTCAAATTCCTAGAGTCAAGCAATCCTGATGCCTCAGCCTCCCAAGTGGCTGGAACCACAGGCACACATGTACTTTTAAGAGTATGCCTGAAAGTAAGCTGTGCAAGATGTCTCTATTTTGTCTTCATAAGTCACAAAGAATATTCTCTATATATTCTACATTCTTTGGATACCAGATATTATTATTATTACTACTAATAGCACTGAACTTCGCCTCTTTCAATAACATTATCTGAACGGCCTCATTTTATGGCTACTGGTATAAAGGTTGCTGGCCAAGGTAGGTGTTTATCATCAGTTTATTTTCAATATGTCAAAAGTCACGGAAATAAATTCTGAGTTTATAATATTTTCACAGAATTTTTTTTTTTTAAAGATTTGGGTCTTTTCCCATTATACTACTTTTGAAAGCACAATTGGCTGGGCATGGTGGCTCACGCCTATTATCCCAGCACTTTGGGAGGTCGAGGTGGGCAGATCACCTGA